TACCGGTATATCAAGGTGTACACAAGGGGTTACACCCCTCTCACATGGGGGTGAGACCCACTTTAATAAAAAAAATATTATTCAAGTGGGTCACATCCCCATTGAGGGGGTGTAATCCCTTGTGTACATCTTTTGATGTACAAGTAGATAATTCCATATCGGGATACCTCATCGACTATGAAGTCTAAGGTCATTAATTAGGGAAGTGCTAGAATAGATATTGGTGATGTACAGGTTACTTTGTTGTGACGTCAGAGATAGTAATTCTTGCAAAAGAGCTTGTTTAGGAAATGTACAGAGTGAAAATTCCTATAATTATTCATTCATAAATACTATTTGTATAATGTTGCTTTTGTTGCTTTTAAATCGGCTAAAATATTTGATTTAAATTAACGATGAAAATTTTAATACTTATTAAAATAAGATATTTTTATTAAGAAAATAATGAAATTATGAGGAATATCCAATAATGAATTCAATTTCTTGACAAGGTTTTCGATGTCTTTCCAGATGTTACTTTGTTAATTATGTTTTACTTAATAGTTTATAGGCTTCGCTCCTATAATTTTGTCAAAAGTTCAAATTATTATAAGGTTTACTAAAGTGTTCGAAAGCATCATTGGGTTTCCAATTACTATTTAAGCTCGTCAAACTTTAATTTTAGTCATAAATTTCATAGGGTTTCCAATTACTATTTACTTATTATCTACGTATTCTGTAGGACCCATGAAATGTTCATAGCTCCTTTTTATTTGAATAATGTTATTCATAGTGAAAACTATCGGTAGTCGTTCTTTGTGACATACACGTGTCGTTTTGTTATTTGATGCACTAATGTGATAGTTTTTTATTATATCACGCATCAAATAACAAAGTGGCCCTTTCAGTTAAATCAATTCAAACATGCGACGACATTTTCGACGAATAATCATGGTAAATATATATTCTAGACGTAAACTTGATCATGCATAAATTTATTTTTAAATTGTAAGTGAACTTTTATTTTTAAATGTGCTTAGATAAGTTAAGGTTATTATTTATATTGACATTATCAATCTCTCTCTTTGGATCATTCATGTATGTTGAACAAGTATTTTAGTATCTTAATTTGCCAAACACGTCACAATTCGTATATGTTGGTAATATTTTATATTGGATAGGTCTCAAATCTATAGAATATGTTTAGTTGTGATCGAAAGTTCATTTTTTTGAAAATATAATTTATGATTCAATTGATCATTTTCGTTTTCTTAAAGAGTCTCAGACAGCCCGGCCCATTAGACAGTGAGGGCCCGACATAGCTCGTGTTCTCTATTGGTTGTGCCCAAGCATGTCGCTAATAATGGTGGCCTGACTGATCGTACTTGTTTTTTCTTTTCAATAAAAAAAAAAGGAAAAGACTCCTTGTACCGGGGCTGTACAACCCCCCCTATCGGCCCCTCACATGAGGGGGGGGGGGGGGGGGGAAAAA